CTCGGTTGGCCGGAACGAACGTCTCAAGTGTCCCATCACGTCATTAAGCAGTGAATGTTCACCCTTCAACGATGACTTGATGCATACACTAGGAAACACGATCAGCCGATCCGGACGGATACTCGTGTGAAGCACATACACCAAATGCATCCTGACCAGCTCTGACGTCGCTACAAATGCTTGCGAAGACGTGTCCTGCAAGCCACGCCGCAGCAGGAATGTCAAGTATGGCCCTATGAGCTGCAAAACTAACGTAAAATAACGCTTCAGACAGCTCAGAAGACATAGGACGTACCGAATGCTCTGCACTTCCCATGAACATGAAGAGCCGTCTCAGGAACTCACGCACAAACAATGCCGTTTGTGCATCCCCGTGATCCGAGAGGACATCTGCGGCCAACACCCTGCGAAGCAGGTCGCTCCGGATGCCGCGAGATAAGTACTCGGCAGGAATGTATAGCAGGAGCCTGTACGCGCCCACTGTATCAGACGACAAACCAACAGGACTGTGCACCCCTCGCACCGCCGTGAGGACGTCGACGGAGTCCAGAGGCTTCGTGACGGCGTTTATTTGCTCCAAAAGGGCATCTGGACGAATTATTGAGACCCGACGCGGATCTCGAGCCGTTGTGTGCTTACCTCGGAGACGATGTAATTCCCACAGCTCGGCATTGTGCAGCGCACGCTGCACGATACTGGGTAGGCCGATCTGTTCGTGTGTCACGCTGCTTTGACTGAAGGACTGCGGCGAGGTCATGAGCTTTGCGAAGCGCGCCAGTTGCGCTTCGGAGGCAGCGCCGCTGCCAAAAACGTCAGGACTCAGCCTGGCCTTGATAAATGAATGATAAATAAAGGACATACTCAAGCAAGGGAAGCCAACGGCTGACGAGCAGATGACATGTTGCGATTGTGGCTTGAGAGTCCGTCCGGACATCGTGGACATGGCCGCTCCATGTGAGCTCACCCGCGTGATGTTCGAGCAGGCCAAGAACCTCGTCGAAGACGGGTGCGGACTCGCAGTAGCCGAGGTCTACGTCGTTCAGCAGAGTACGGAGCTACATAGCCAGCCTAAGCCAAGACACGATTAGAAAGAGACGAGGCTGTGACGTACGATTTCGACCCGCAGCTCGGGGCTGATCGGTGACTCGAGAGTCGACAACAGCTTCGACGCAGTCTTCTGATCTCCCTGAGTCGAGACCTGCACCGAAGGAGCGGTCCTGATACAGTACTGCAGACGCAGAATCGATGATGCAGCCCAGTGTACGTCTTGGCTTGAGGCTCCACGGCGAATGCGTTTCAAAATGTCTTTGAGCTTCGATCGTTCAAACGCATAGAAGTACTGTACGACCTCGGTCACAGCACTCTTCGTGTCATCTTCCAGATACCGCGTGGGGATGGAGGAGAAGACAGTACAAGCGATGCGCGAGGCGAGAGAAAACGCCACGGCCGCCCGTGTAGACGATTCCGTAACAGGTGATACACCATCCTTTGCTGTTTTGCGCTTCTTCTTTTGGGGCCGACTGTTATCGTCGTCAGAGGGAGTAGATAAGTCCACGATCGTGAGAAGTTGCTCGCGCAGATGGTGCAGGACAGTGTCAACAATACCGCTCACTTGGCCAGGAGTGATAAACGACTTGAGGGACTTGGCAAAGTCATCCAGAAAGGGGTGACGGAGAATAGGACTAACGGAAGCAGCAGATCTATCTAACAGTGCCCGCGAGGCACAGGCCTCCAAAAGGGACCCCACCAGCAGGTCCAGTGTCCGCGTTTTCCTGTGGTAGTCCAAGAGTTTCCCGAGATAAGTGTAGGCCGGAGCGGTGTGCGAAGGGACCTTGGCAGAGATCGGTCAGAAGTTACTAAGTAATACACGCCCAAGGCATACCGTCAGGAGCAGATGAAGGATACGAGGTGTCGAATGAGCTAGCAAATCATAATCTATGCCGACGATGATGGAAAGGATATCGAGAGTATATTCCACAAGCACCTGCTTGTTTTCTATGTGGGCACGGTCAGCACATGATAAGGAGACGAGACTGAACTGAAGCCATCTACCAGAAATAAAGTTGGCGAGCCCGGCGATCGTCTCCTCGCCGATGCGGCTAAGAACTTTGTCTATCGACTCGTTATTTGCGCCGTAGAGTCCTTCGGAATTCATAATCCGGAGCAATTTAGTTTTTGTTTCCCAGCGTATCTCGTCCTCGTTGACAGGGCTCAGCAGCGAGTCGCACATGGCAAAGAACTTCAGAGAAGCCTGGCGAGCCTGGTCCGCAGACGCTCCGGGAGCCTGGTGAGAGCTCTGACCGAAGATTGCTGCCTTGTGTCTCCTAGTAACTTGTATGAACGCCTTGAACAAACGAGGCAAGCCATGACAAGCAGCCACCGGGCTCGCTGTTATAGCGCTTGAGAGAAACTCGACATAGGGATAATCATCTCTATCCTGAGCTTGTCGGAGGACGTCGACGTTGAACATGGTCTCCACGCCGGCCTCATAGACATCAG